CTTCTACTTCTCTGACGCTCGGTTATGGAGGCGGCTAGACCTGGTTTGGCTCTTGTGATTGGTGAACTTCTGTCCGTACCTTTAAGCCATTTGAATCAACTGGCGGACCCTAATAGCTCTAGGGACGCCATTTTACCACCCCGATCTTTGATGAGTCAAGCTCCCATTGAGATAATGACAAATACCTTGGGATCACTCACCAGTATCATGAGGCTTACAGGGCGCCACGTGGAATGAACTTTCAGAAGTTGTTGAAACAACACTTGTTGACGCCGAATCCTTTCAACAACGATCTCGTGGCCATTTCATAGGTAGACAGTGCGTACTCCTTTCCACCGTCATTGCTGAACCGGAGATTGTCAATCTGATTTTAATCGCGCCTTATTGGCCGACGCGTCCCCGGATCCACGATCTAAGAAGCGGTGCTGGATGTCCAGTCCTCGATAGCAGAGAAACTCGAAGCACTGGAATTCCCAGTGATCATTGTCTGAAATGTCGGGGTAATTCACCATGGACCGCTGATGTTTACACTGACTGCCAACTGCCAGAACGTGATACATTTCGGATAACAGTCAAACCTCGTTATCTCGAATTTTCTGACATCCCGAACCCTGTCTCCGGACCCGACAGCTACACAATATCAATACTTGCAAATTCCCCCATTATCTCGAATTGGAGATAACAATACATATCTATCGCGAACCCGGTCTCGGTCAGAAGTTTGATTTTACTATGGAATTCAATACCGATCTCGAAGGTGACATTTCAGATTGTTGCTGTTTGACATGATAAGGGACTGTCGGCACGTGATTGTCAATTGGCTGCAGTCAGATTGTTCAGGTTCTCTGGGAGTCATATCATATGTCTTTTACGGCACATGTACTGAAACAATGAATTGCTTCCCATTAGACGTAAACACGCATTGATGTTTAGGTGATACGGGATAATGAAGTGGACGACTCGTAGGATCTTCAAGCCGTTCTCATGTCTTTACCGATTCTTCTGTGAGATGAATGCACACGCGTTGAGTCAGGATAGGACATCATTTTGCACAAATTATGGTATTTATGATCTAATATAAAAACTCCTTATATAACATATCCAGTAACTTCCTTCCCAACCACGTACCGTCTGCAAATCTCCTACCCAGAGTTCCATGCGGCGGGGCGGTGAGGGTAGCCTCGTGGTGTAAGCGTTCACTCGTCACGCCAAAGACCCGGATTTGATTCCCCACATGGGTACAAAGTGTGAAGCCCATTTCTGGTGTTCCCCGTCGTGATATTGCTGGAAAAGTGCTAACAGCGGCGTAAAAGTTTAAACGAAACTCGCTCACTCCACGGGGCCAGTCATCCCTGAGCAGGAGTGTATTACCGTCTGCAGATACGTTTTGAGATCAAAGGAGGCCACTCCGCTTGACCTTGTGCGTGGCTCCCTCGATGTGAAGAGGTCATTTTGGGGTTCCTTGGTTTAGGATTCGACGGAAGACGGAAATTGCAATCAAAATAAGTATTTAATTTCATGAATATTCATGAAACTTTTACATTTTTACATAAACGTAGACTAGGAAGAACGAGTGTCGTAACCTTCTATAATGAGCATATGACCGTGTAATATAGTATGACCAGAAGTTATTAGAGAATTTTAGGAATTTGTTAAATTGGATTTCTAGTATATAAACAACCGTGACCAGCTATCAAGTGCTTGGTTTCATTCAAGAGAGACAACTCCGTTAATCCTTTTTCTTTAGTTTGTGAAGAGTTATACCCCTTTGTTTACTTGCTAGCAGACGGCATTTTCAGTGATCCTCAGTATGGATGATTTAGAGAAGAGGAAGTTGATTTTAGAGCATTATAACAAGGACATCAGATCAGCTAAAGTGATTTCAAGTAGAACAGGCATCCCTTTGTCCACTGTTTATCGTGTTTTGAAAAATATTGCAATTTGATATGGCATTGAGCACCAAGGAGGCGCAGGTAGGCCCAGAAAATTGACTGTCGGTGACAGGAGGCGGCTAGGTATTCTTGTTTCTAAAAACAAACGAAGGAGTTTAGAAAACTTAAGGCTGGATATGATTGATAGAGGAACTGTGGCTGTCTGTAAGGAGACATTTAGAACTGAGCTGCATGCAATGGGTTGGCAGAAAAGTCGAGGAATTCCATCACCGATCATGATCAAACCTGAACAAAAGGAGCGAAGGTTGAACTGGTGCTTACAGCATAAAAAATTTAACTGGGACAATGTGATTTTCTCAGATGAAAGTTCTGTGTGGCTGTTTCCTAATACACTGAAGTTCTGGACCAAACAAACTGAAAACCTTTGTATCAGCGCCCAAAGTACAGTCCGAAATTTGACGTGTGGGGTGGCATATCTGTGTTAGGGGCAACGCCCATCCGTGTATTTGAAGGTAATATGAAGAGTGAGCGGTACACAGATATTCTCGAGGGACATTTACTTCCATCTGCTCACGTGTTCTATAGAAATTTTTGGATTTTCCAGCAGGACAACGACCGAAAAACATTGCTCAAAGCATTCACAGGCCTGGTTTCGGACCCAAAATATTACATTACTAGTATTAGATTGGCCAAGCTATAGCCCTGACCTAAATCCAATAGAAAATGTTTGGGGACTTATGAAGGAAAGTGTCAATAAGAACAATCTGACAAATATTGCTGAAATGAAAGAAGAGGTGGTCCGATATTGGGACAGCATGTACCACGACTTTCTAACTTCTTTGATCAGTAAGTAGTATGCCCCGCCGCATTGAAGCCTGCATTGTTGCCCATGGTGACTTGACAAAATACTTACTGTTCACCTGTCTTTGAATCTGGAGTTATGTTCTGCTAATATTCACATTTAATACGTGAGTAATGAGTGAAAAAAAATAAAATAAATACAATCTTTAAATTCTCAATAATTTCTGGTTGTACTGTATTATGTACTATTCTATCGCTTGTTTCATCTGAAGTATGCATGGAGTGGTAACAGCTTCCCTTACGCTCATCATGCTTCTTTTCCTTCGCAGGCAAACTGGATGAGGACATTCTCGTCGTTCCTTTACAGGTCAGGTGTTTGCCAACGATGCTAATAAACTATCTGTGTGTGTTTTGATCGTTGTCGTTGGTATAATCGGTTTTAGTGACAGGGTCATCAAGTGGTCTTAGCTCCTCAGTTCGATGAGCAGAGTTACACACTTCAGGTACATCCGGAAGCAAAGAAGTTTATGTCCAAAAGATCCTTGATTCATGTTTACTTCTAGACGTCCTTCAAAGAATTAATATTGAAAATAGAATATTTCAAATAAGAAAACCCGAAAGCTGAGTATAATAATGTCCCGGTGTTATAATAAACATATCAAAAGGGGACCAATCTGAATTTGATTATTGTCATTTTGTAGATGTTGATGATAGGATATGATATTTTATGAGCGCTTCTGGTAGATCCGCCTTGTAACCCATTGATGCTATTTCACAAACAGATGCAGCTAATGTCATTCGAGCTGTTAGCTGTTAGGGGTGTCCTACTACCATCTATGCAACTGTTATAGCATGGACTGCGGTACGGATGCGGTAGGATTGTTGCAGCATGTGACGTGTCTGTATATAATCGAGCCTGAACCAGACGATCCAGTGATCAACATCATGAGCATTGATGTACGCATTTGGGATACTATGACATGCATTATCCTAATAGGTGAGTCTGACCACTCGATCCCGTTAGTCGCCTCCTACGACAAGCATGGGTTTCTGAAGATCAATTCTAACCCGGTTCATCACGGGCAGGATCAGTAAGGACCCGCGCTGTGCTATAGTATATGGTGTAGCAGCTTAGAATGGATACCTGACTCGGTATACTGAGTACGTGGTGATCAGTCCTGGTTTTAAACCTCCTCTGCAGTGCACAAGGCAAGGCATTAACAAGTATCATATTTAAGTTATTTTTTATGACACGGCGCGGGATCGAGCCAACGACCTGCTGTGCAGACATCCGACAAACAAGGAACTGGTCAGGTTACATTCACTTAAGGTATACAAGTTTAACCGACAACTCTTATAGGAACAAAATATAGGAAAAAAGAATATTAGACAGTTAAACTTATTATGATTTCGGAAAATGAAACAAATCAACAGCCATAACGCACTTGCACGTTGTCGAACCCAGCGCTTCACACTGTTTCTTGTGATGCATCTGGATGTAACCAACCCTCAAGATAAATATAAACAAGTCGTTTAGTCCCACGTCAAGGAAGAGTCATTATCAGTACGCGCTACGGAACCCAGGGAACTGAGTTGTCGCCTTGCAAGTTGTTATATGCTAATATCAAACTCTTACTCACTCATTCATTGACGCACGCACTCACAGGTGCACTCGCTCACTAACGCATTGACATTCGCGCTTACTCACGCACACCTATAAAACCAATGCTTTTTCGACCACGCAAGTACATACACTTTCTCCCTCACTCACACGCACTCTGTTTGACGTACATATGTACTCAGAGAGAGAGAATGAGAGAGAGTTTGGTTTACGCCACTTCTAGCAATATTGCAGCAATATGACGGTAGGGGACACCAAAAACGGGCTTCGCACATTGTACCTATATATGGAATCGAATTCGATCGATCGATCGATCGATCGATCAGAGATGTACATGCACACACATGCAAACAAACAGATATCTACTCATTTGATCAATGACGCACTTACTCGCACATGTGCAACTCATATACTGTCAGAACGCACACACGCACCCTCCCTCTCTCCCCTCACTCACTCACTCGGTCACCACACTAACTCTTATGAACATCTATGCGTCGCCCTATCTCGATTCACGTGTCGTTTTACACGTCGAGGCCACCATGGATTAGAGAACCTTATAAACTGAAGTATGTGTCGCACCACGACCCAGACGAGTTCAGGCCGTCAAGTATTAACACAAAGGCACACATAGATAAGGTGCATTAACATACAAGCATAATATATTTTCCCTGTCAAGAGCCACATAGTCAATCGTGTGACATGTTGCACGCACCATTATCATTGCTATGAAGGGCATGCATACATACGAAGACACCGGCCCTATTAGACATTGACGACAAGAGGGTGCTTGGCCCGAAGCAGGGAACTCTCACAGCTCTGTGTATACCTGTGACACGTTCCCATCGACATTACGGGAGGTAAGTTTGTACTGAGTTCAGGATAACTCCTTTCTCTATTGGTATCTCTTTCCTGAGTTCGGGGTAGTCTTACCTGGAGCGACTTGGCGGTGATAGATAAGAGGTCAGGTGAAGAGGAATTTAATATAGCTTTCAAGATTATTCAAGAGCGCAGAGGTTTCTTGTGAGTGTGGTAAAAGGTTTATATAGGGACGTGCATGCACGTGTTTGTGTGTGTGGCCGTTGGTAGTAGTTAGCCCGGGTGTACAGTTCTACCCCACTGGGGCATCATGTAGTAAAACAGGGATACCACAATACCACAATCAGTATTTTCATTTGACTAGTTCTTGTTTTGTTTTTTATCTCCCTTAATATCTAAAGCCTGTCAAGGTCAGGGAGATAAGGCGTTAGAGCTGCTTGATACACAAGCTTTCGATTTTTTTAGTGTGTAAGTGAGTAGTGAGAATGAGGTGAACTCCATAAAACAAAACCATCATGTCTGTTAATTTGAGGTAGGCTGCTAAAACTGGGAATGGGGAGAGTATAGACTAGAGCTGAGAAGTATAGGCTGCTGGAGCTAAAAGGAGGATGGGTATAGCCTGTTGGTGCTAAAAGGAGGATGAGTATAGCCTGTTGGTGCTAAAATAACGATGAGTATAGCCTGTTGGTGCTAAAATGAGGATGAGTATAGCCTGTTGGTGCTAAAAGGAAGATGAGTATAGCCTGTTGGTGCTAAAATAAAGATGAGTATAGCCTGTTGGGGCTAAAAGGAGGAAGAGTATAGCCTGTTGGTGCTAAAATAATGATGAGTATAGCCTGTTGGTGCTAAAAGAATGATGAGTATAGCCTGTTGGTGCTAAAAGGAGGATGAGTATAGCCTGTTGGGGCTAAAAGGAGGATGAGTATAGCCTGTTGATGCTAACAGGAGGATGAGTATAGCCTGTTGGGGCTAAAAGGAGGATGAGTATAGCCTATTGGGGCTAAAAGGAGGGTGCGTAGCCTGTTGGGGCTAAAAGGAGGATGAGTATAGCATGTTGGGGCTAAAAGGAGGATGGGTAGCCTGTTGGGGCTAAAAGGAGGATGAGTATAGCCTGTTGGTGCTAAAAGGAGGATGAGTATAGCCTGTTGGGCCTAATAGGAGGATGAGTATAGCCTGTTGGGGCTAAAAGGAGGATGAGTATAGCCTGTTGGTGCTAAAAGGAGGATGAGTATAGCCTGTTGGGGCTAAAAGGAGGATGAGTATAGCCTATGGGGCTAAAAAGGAGGATGAGTATAGCCTGTTTGGGCTAAAAAGGAGGGATGAGTATAGCCTGTTGGGGCTAAAAGGAGGATGAGTATAGCCTGTTGATGCTAAAAGGAGGATGAGTATAGCCTGTTGGGGCTAAAAGGAGGATGAGTATAGCCTGTTGGGGCTAAAAGGAGGATGAGTATAGCCTGTTGGTGCTAAAAGGAGGATGAGTGGGGCTAAAAGGAGGAGTATAGCCTGTTGGGGCTAAAAAGGAGGATGAGTATAGCCTGTTGGGGCTAAAAGGAGGATGAGTATAGCCTGTTGGGGCTAAAAGGAGGATGAGTATAGCCTATTGGGGCTAAAAGGAGGATGTGTAGCCTGTTGATGCTAAAAGGAGGATGAGTATAGCCTGTTGGGGCTAAAAGGAGGATGAGTATAGCCTGTTGGGGCTAAAAGGAGGATGAGTATAGCCTGTTGGGGCTAAAAGGAGGATGAGTATAGCCTGTTGGGGCTAAAAGGAGGATGAGTATAGCCTGTTGGGGCTAAAAGGAGGATGAGTATAGCCTGTTGGGGCTAAAAGGAGGATGAGTATAGCCTGTTGGGGCTAAAAAGGGAGGATAGTATAGCCTGTTGGTGCTAAAAAGGAGAGGATGAGTATAGCCTGTTGGGGCTAAAAGGAGGATGATGAGTATAGCCTGTTGGGGCTAAAAAGGAGGATGAGTATAGCCTGTTGGGGCTAAAAGGAGGATGAGTATAGCCTGTTGGAGGCTAAAAAGGAGGATGAGTATAGCCTGTTGGGGCTAAAAAGGAGGATGAGTATAGCCTGTTGGGGCTAAAAGGAGGATGAGTATAGCCTGTTGGGGCTGGGTAAAGGAGGATGAGTATAAAAGGAGGATGAGTATAGCCTGTTGGGGCTAAAAGGAGGATGAGCCTATGGGGCCTAGTTGCTAAAAGGAGGATGAGTATAGCCTGTTGGGGCTAAAAGGAGGATGAGTATAGCCTGTTGGGGCCAAAAGGAGGATGAGTATAGCCTGTTGGGGCTAAAAGGGGGATGAGTATAGCCTGTCTGGGGCTAAAGGAGGATGAGTATAGCCTGTTGGGGCTAAAAGGAGGATGAGTATAGCCTGTTGGGGCTAAAAAGGAGGATGAGTATAGCCTGTTGGGGCTAAAAAGGAGGATGGAGCTAATAGCCTGTTGGGGCTAAAAAGGAGGATGAGTATAGCCTGTTGGTGGCTAAAAGGAGGATGAGTATAGCCTGTTGGCTGTTGGTACTAAAAGGAGGATGAGTATAGCCTGTTGGTATAGGCTAAAAAGGAAGATGAGTATAGCCTGTTGGGGCTAAAAGGAGGATGGAGTATAGCCTGTTGGGGCTAAAAGGAGGATGAGTATAGCCTGTTGGAGCTAAAAAGGAGGATGAGTATAGCCTGTTGGTGCTAAAAGGAGGATAGTATAGCCTGGGGAGGAGGATACATATAGCCTGTTGGTGCTGAAAGAATGAGGCCAGTATAGCCTGTTGGGGCTAAAAGGAGGATAGTATAGCCTGTTAGGACTGCTAAAAGGAGGATAGTATAGCCTGTTGGAGTGCTAAAAAGGAGGATAGTATAGCCTGTCTGTGCTACCTAAGGATGAGTATAGCCTGTAGGTGCTAAAAGGAGGATGAGTATAGCCTGTTGGGGCTAAAAGGGATAGTATAACCTGTTGGTGCTAAAAAAGGAGGATAAGTATAGCCTGTAGTGGGCTAAAAGGAGGATGAGTATAGCCTGTTGGGCTAAAAAAGATAGAGCACTGTGCGGGCTAAGGGAGGGATGAGTATAGCCTGTTAGAAGGATAAGGAGGATGAGTATAGCCTGTTGGGGGCTAAAAAGGAGGATGGGTATAGCCTGTAGGGGATAAGGAGGATGAGTATAGCCTGTTGGGGCTAAAGGAGGATGCTTAGTATAGCCTATTGGTGGGCTAAAAGGAGGATGAGTATAGCCTGTTGGGAGCTAAAAGGAGATAGTGATAGGATTCATGGTAGGCCTAAAAAGGAGGATGAGTATAACCTGTTGGAGGATAGTAAGGCTGTTGGGAGATTGAGTATAACCTATTGGGGCTAAAAGGATAGATATAGGCTGTTTGGTGCTAAAAGGAGGATGAGTATAGCCTGTTGGTGCTAAAAGGAATTGCTTGATGAGTATAGCCTGTTGGTGCTAAAATAAGAGGATGAGTATAGCCTGTTGGTGCTAAAAGAATGATGAAGTATAGCCTGTTGGTACTAAAATGAGGATGAGTATAGCCTGTTGGTGCTAAAAGGAGAAGATGAGTATAGCCTGTTGGTGCTAAAATAAATAACTATGGTATAGCCTGTTGGTGCTAAAAGGAAGGATAGAGTATAGCCTGTTGGGGCTAAAATAATATAACCTGTTGGTTCTGATAGGAGTGAGTATAGCCTGTTGGTGCTAAAAAGAATGATGAGTATAGCCTGTTGATTGCTAAAAGGAGGATGAGTATAGCCTGTTGGGGCTAAAGGAGGATGAGTATAGCCTGTTGATGCTAACAGGAGGGATGAGTATAGCCTGTTGGGGCTAAAAGGAGGATGAGTATAGCCCTGTTGGGGCTAAATAAGGAGGGAGTATAGCCTCATTTGGGGCTAAAAAGGAGGATGAGTATAGCCTGTTAGGGCTAAAGGAGGATGAGGTAGCCTGTTGGGGCTAAAAGGAGGATGAGTATAGCCTGTTGGTGCCAAAAGGAGGATGAGCATAGCCTGTTGGGGCTAATAGGAGGATGAGTATAGCCTGTTGGGGCTAAAAGGAGGATGAGTATAGGCCTGTCTGGGCTAAAAGGAGGATGAGAGTATAGCCTGTTGGGGCTAAAAGGAGGATGAGTATATGAGCCTGTTATAGCCTATAATGTACTAAGGAGGATGACGGCCCTGTAGCCTAAAAGGAGGATGTGTAGCCTGTTGATGCCAAAGGAGGATGAGTATACTGTTCAACTAAAAGGAGGATGAGTATCAGGCTGCTGGTGCTAAAAGGAGGATGAGTATAGCCTGTTGGGGCTAAAAGGAGGATGAGTATAGCCTATGGGGCTAAAAGGAGGATGTGTAGCCTGTTGATGCTAAAAGGAGGATGAGTAGCCTGTTGGGGCTAAAAGGAGGATGAGTAGCCTGTTGATGCTAAAAGGAGGATGAGTATAGCCTGTTGGGCCTAAACGGAGGATGAGTATAGCCTGTTGGTGCTAAAAGGAGGATGGGTATAGCCTGTAGGTGCTAAAAGGAGGATGAGTATAGCCTGTTGGGCCTAAACGGAGGTTGAGTATAGCCTGTAGGTGCTAAAAAGGAGGATGAGTATAGCCTGTTGAGGCCTAGTAAACTGGAGGCTAAAAGGAGGATAGTATAGCCTGTTGGGGCTAAACGGAGGATGAGTATAGCCTGTTGGGTGCTAAAAGGAGGATGAGTATAGCCTGTTGGTGCTAAAAAGGAGGATGGGTATAGCCTGTAGGTGCTAAAAGGAGGATGTGTATAGCCTGTAGGTGCTAAAAGGAAGATGAGTATAGCCTGTTTGGGCTAAAAGGAGGATGAGTATAGCCTGTTGGGGCTAAAAGGAGGATGAGTATAGGCTGCTGGTGCTAAAAGGAGGATGAGTATAGCCTGTTGGGGCTAAAAGGAGGATGAGTATAGCCTGTTGGGGCTAAAAGGAGGATGAGTATAGCCTGTTGGGGCTAAAAGGAGGATGAATTTAGCATGTTGGGGCTAAAAGGAGAATGAGTAGCCTGTTGGAGCTAAAAGGAGGATGAGTATAGCCTGTTGGGCCTAAACGGAGGATGAGAATACCTGTTGGGGCTAAATGGAGGATGAGTGTAGCCTGTTGGGGCTAAAAGGAGGATGAGTATAGCCTGTTGGGGCTAAAAGGAGGATGAGTATAGCCTGTTGGGGCTAAAAGGAGGATGAGTATAGGCTGCTGGTGCTAGAAGGAGGATGAGTATAGCCTGTTGGGGCTAAAAGGAGGATGAGTATAGCCTGTTGGGGCTAAAAGGAGGATGAGTAGCCTGTTGGAGCTAAAAGGAGGATGAGTATAGCCTGTTGGGCCTAAACGGAGGATGAGAATAGCCTGTTGGGGCTAAATGGAGGATGAGTGTAGCCTGTTGGGGCTAAAAGGAGGATGAGTATAGCCTGTTGATGCTAAAAAGGAGGATGAGTATAGCCTGTTGGGGCTAAAAAGGAGGATGAGTATAGCCTGTTGGGGCTAAAAAGGAGGATGAGTATAGCCTGTTGGGGCCAAAGGAGGATGAGTATAGCCTGTTGGGGCTAAAAAAGGAGGATGAGTATAGCCTGTTGATGCTAAAAGGAGGATGAGTATAGCCTGTTGGGGCTAAAAGGAGGATGAGTATAGCCTGTTGGGGCTAAAAGGAGGATGAGTATAGCCTGTTGGGGCTAAAAGGAGGATGAGTATAGGCTGTTGGGGCTAAAAGGAGGATGAGTATAGGCTGTTGGGGCTAAAAGGAGGATGAGTATAGCCTGTTGGGGCTAAAAGGAGGATGAGTATAGCCTGTTGGGGCTAAAGGGAGATGGAGTATAGCCTGTTGGGGCTAAAAGGAGATGAGTATAGCCTGTTGGGGCTAAAAGGAGGATGAGTATAGCCTGTTGGGGCTAAAAGGAGGATGAGTATAGCCTGTTGGGGCTAAACGGAGGATGAGTATAGCCTGTTGGGGCTAAAAGGAGATGGAGTATAGCCTGTTGTTGCTAAAAGGAGGATGGGTATAGGCTGCTGTAGCTGAAAAGGGCATGAGTATCCTGCTAAAACGTGATTGTTGCACTAAATATATGTACTGGGGCCTTTGAGAGACATCCAGGTGATCGTATTCGGATCGACGTGACTGGAAAAGGGATCTGCCCTTTAGTCGGGACGTCATGACTGGATTATCTTATCGTGATACTTCGTCGTCATATAATTGATTATTCGGCACAAGTTTTCCCAAAAAAATGATAAAACTATGCCTCGTCTTACAAGTTGGTGCTCGTACGCTATCGGTTCGATCTTGGCACAACAATGTATATAATAAATCATTGTTACGGTTTTCACACAGTTCAGTATGTTAACATATACTGAAGGCCATTAAAAACGCAATTGGTATTTGTTGTCCTGAAACTTACAAAAGTTCTATTGAAGATTTTTTCCTGCGATACAGAGGATGTAGGGATAAAAGGCTGTTATTCTGGCCCATTTCGAGTTCGAGTCCCCGAGCATTCCACTCACATGTACTTTGATACTTAAAACTGAACCTTTGACATTTCTCGTAAACACAACCACATTCATGAAACACGTTGTGCACATGCATTACCTTGCACCCAGGCCCTGTAAAAGCACAAGGAATTGTGGAACTCAATCACTTTGAGAAAATGCCACACTTGACACAAGACGACAGGAATCAGGTTATCGGTATGGTCAGCCAAGGTGCTTCAGATGTGATGATTGCCAGGCACTTTAATGTGCATCCATCCTCTGTAAGTCGACTCAGACAACGTTTTCGGGCTACCGGAAGTGTTGCTGATCGTCCGCGACCTGGTGCACCACCTGTGATAACAGCTCGACAAAACCGCAATATCCGAGTTTCACACTTGCGAAATCGGTTCCAAACAGCTGATGATTAGGCAAGGAGGACAAAACATGATCGTTTTGGAGGGGAGGGTGTCATGATCAGACCACAGACCATCAGAGGCTGCAGACCATCCAACAGCTGTTCCTGAGAAATGTGTGTCTTTCAATGCCCCAAAGACTGCGAGCATGTCTTGCAGCGCACGGTGGACACATACGATATTGACTGCAAGTGACCCCTCCTTTGTGTGATGTCGTTGTTGTGTCACTGATGTTGTTGTTGACTGGACATTTTCAGATGAAATTATTCACAGATGTTCACTTAAAACATATCTGCCAGTTAGGTTTATATATGTTGAAATTAGTGTGAGTAAAGAAAGTATGAATGTCAAATTGCATTTTTAATGGCTTTCAGTATAGTTGTGACTATTACTGGTACATTTTTCGACATTTTCGCAAATGTTAACAAGGGACTCTTTGACCAAGACATTCTTCATTCTGACTGATTTGTCGTGAAACACCATGCTAAAGGGCAAGATTCTTATTGCAGGTGATGACTTGGAGCTTTTGGTGACCCACGTTGGAATCTCTTCAGAATGTCATTTGTTGCCGCAAAGAAGACAAACTCAGCGCTTAGCATACGAAACCTGGACGCGGCACAGAAACTATGGGACTACATGAAACTCAACCAGTCTCTCAAACAGGTGGGATCTAACTCCGCACTACTCGTAAACCTGTGCGAGTGTTCTTTATAGAGGGATCACGACTGGTCCCGTCGCCTAGGGCGCCGCAATTCGCAATTCGAGTTTCGTGTATTGGGAAAGCTGAGAACTATGATTGTGTGTGGGTTCGAATCTCCGAATGTCAGCACCATGATGATGGCTTTCACCAAATTGGTATAGACCTGCATCACTTCGGGATGTCCCCCACATAAAACGTACACACTGTGGTTGGTTGGTTTATTGTTTAACGCCGCACTCAGCATGTACTATTCCAGCCACATGGCGACGGTCTGTAATTAATCGAGTCTGGACCAGACAATCCAGTGATCAACAACATGAGCATCAATCTACGCAATGGGGATACGATGACATGTGTCAACCAAGTCAGCGAGCCTGACCACCTGATCCCGCTAGTCGCCTCTTACGACATACATGGGTTGCTGAAGATCAATTCTAACCCGGATGTCCACGGGTCGTACACGCTGTGATATAACTGGAATACCTTTCAAAACGACGTTAATACCAAACTCACTCACTCTTTAACAGCTGTTCACATCAGTCCATTCTACAAAGCAACGTTACTTCATCAGAGACGTACAACAGTATCAGCCCTACGATTGTTTCATACTTCCGGGAACTGACAGTTTTCAGACGCCATACCTATAAATTCGGATGACATAGATAACTAATAAAGCAAATATTAAGATCGCTTGGATAAGCGGTTGCGAGCATAGTAAGTGGGAAAGTGTTATTGGGAAAAAGTCAAAGGTAAATGTACTTGCCTTTGCATGTGTTTGTGATAGGTACAATCAGCGTAGCCGCATACGTGCACATGTTACCTGATCCGTGAAGGTCCGGGTTAGAATGTGCCTTCAGTAACCCATGCTTGTCGTAAGAGGCGACTAACGGGATCGGATGGTCAGGCTCGCTGGCTTGGTTGACACTTGTCATCTAATAACGCAGATCGATGCTCATGCTGTTGATCACTGGTTTGTCTGGTTTTCGATTATTTACAGACCGCCGCCATATAGCTGGAATATTGCTGAGTGCGGCGTAAAACTAAACTCACTCACTCACTCACCTGTTACCTGATCGCAAGCACCTGATACCATCACAATTTGACATAGATTCAAAGACGCATGCTTATGATACATGTCGAAATGGCACAGCGAACACTGCTTTATAAGATATAAATTTGGATTATGGAAAGTAATCAGGCACTTATATATTTATAAAGCCCATTTTCATACCAATGAAAATGATGATTTTGTAATTAACGAAAAACTACATGTGAAGTCTCTATTAAGAAAGACCAAGTGTTCGTCATTTGTTTCTGATGCCTTCACAACATCCAGCGAGGGAATAACTTTATCACAAATTTGCTCAATGTCCAAATATCAGAATATACACTACAGGTCTCTCGTGATAGTTCTGCTTACTCGCAATTGTGTAAATACGAGAAAATGTAAATGTTCAAAAGAACAAACCCAGTTATTCTTATATGTCTCAAGAGGCATGCGAACTGTTCAGCCAATGTCTGGCGTGGCTGGTTGTGTATAGTGGTATCCAAACTGACTTTGAACCTGTTATTTGCCATTACTTGGTCTTTTTACCTGCCTCCATGATATTGCTGGTAATGCTTGGTTACTGCTGATAGTATCGTGGACATCATTCTTCAGTCATTCATTCTACAATTAATACAGCACCTATCTAAAGACATATTATGTTAAAATCTTTCCTTTTGCCAAATGTCGCAGAGTGACGTCATCATTGCATTGGGCAGCAACGATCTGAGAGTAGCGGAAGTGGCCTCTGACCTTTTTCAAAGGGGCATGGCGGACTGGATAGTCATGTCAGGAAAAAGTGGGCAACTCACGAAAGGTAAATTGTAAATTAATGATATTTTTTCACCCCTTTCTTATACCCCTTCTACTGATATTCAATATTCAACAAAATTTTACCAAAAAACAAACAACCAAAATACAACAAATTAAACTTCATTTAACTGTGGTGGTTCTTTTTCACATAGGAAAATGGCCGAAATCAGAGGCGGAGATGTTTTTCGACGTCGCCACCGCCATTGGAGTACCAGAGGACCATATCATTGTGGAAAATAAGTCAACAAACAGCGGGGAAAATGCCAGATTTACTCACGATCTCTTGACGAGGAGAAACATTCCGGCAGAGTCCATAATACTGGTACAGAAACCCTTCATGGAACGTCGTGCTTACGCCACCTTCGTGAAGCAATGGCCTCGACCTGTAGACATCACTGTGACGTCACAGAACATTTCCATGATGGATTATCCGAACAGTGACGTCGGGACTCTTACTGACGTCATATCTGTGTTAGTTGGGGATATGCAGAGGTTATCGCTGTACGCAGAACGGGGGTTCCAGATTGCTCAGGACATACCGCCTGATGTCTGGGAGGCGTATTGTTTACTTCACGAAAGTGGGTGGTTTGGGTCACATCTGATTACATGACATAAAGTGGTGTTGTTGTTCCTGTACTGTTTGTTTTGGTTGTTGTCTAGCAAAATGAATGCGGTCTGTAAAAACTCGAGCCTGGACCTATACTTAATAGTTATTCAATTTTCCAGCAGTGTTACACAGTACTTTGATATTATACAATTATAGACTCTTGTAGAGATCGATATCGGTTTTTATTGACCTGAGTAAAACAATATCGACCGAGCTTGCGAGGTCGATATTGTTTTACTCAGGTCAATAAAAACCGATATCGACCTCTACAGAGTCTATACTTGTTTTATTATATAATGAAAGAGAAACGGGTTTTAACATAAACTTTTAATGCACACACTGTGCCATCTATCCGAGTGATCTGATTGGCTGAAAAGCGGGGGAAGCCCCTTCGTACGGGATTCCTTGTCTATTTTTAGTAACCCAAGTCAATATCGTAATTTATCAGAAAACTCAAGTCAATATCGTGTTTTGTAGTCAATCATGTGACGGTCTTTTGACCAATCGTGGTACAGGAAAAATACTACCTATATAATAAAACATTTTATTACCCTGTAGCTAAAATGTATCGGTGTACATAATTCATTTGGCTTGTATGTTTGTTGTGTAATGCCGCACTCAGCATTCTACCCTATAAATACTGGATTGTGATTGGTTAATCTAAGTCATTCAGAGGTATATTATCACTTTATCTACTCTTCAATCTTTATTCATACTGAAGGCCACAGGCCCATAGTATACAAGAACATAGTACACAATATCATAGAAAAGAATAATATAGTCACATCCCAATATGTCATATCACATCAAAATGTATCACATCATATAACATCGCATTACACATACTTTGTCGTATCACATCGAAATCATAATAGCTACGCGTTCGGTTTTAAATCAGATTTAGAGTTATTATAATTTCGTTATATACATCTGATTTTCAAACACAGTATGTTTATCTCCTAAATATTCCAGCTATATGACGGCGGTCTGTAAATTATCGAATCTGGACCAGACAATCCAGTGACTGACATCATGAGCATCGATCTGCGAAATTGAGATACGATGACATGTGTCAGCCAAGTCTGTGAGTCTGTCAACCCGATTCCGTTAGTGGCCTTTTACGACAAGCAAAGATTCTGTTTATAATACTCTGGTCCAGTGATTCTTGGATATCATGGCATTGGCTTACTTTACACATCCTCGATAATCTCCAGGGTATACTTTACGTTCCGATAAATCCTACTAGAGGAGATTTATCGGAACGCATACCCTGTAGATTATCGAGGATGTACTTAACATGGCCCATGCACTATTAGTAGCGGTGTGGAAGCCCGGTTAAAGCGTTTGTTGGCGGTCTATAAATAAACGAGTCTGGGCCAGACAATCCAGTGACTGACATCATGAGCATCGACTTACACTGGGATACGATGACATACATCAACCAAGTCAACGAACCCGACCACCGATCGTTAGACGCATTGTGCAGAATCTCACGAGTACTGGCAGTTACACAACGTTGTTCTTTACGAAAGACGGTGACGATAACTCAGCCAATCAAGCGAAGGCCTTTGATTCTTCAATGCACTGAATAAACTAGATGAGAGATGAGGCACTTCTGTATCAATGCTTATGCGGTCAATAACCTGAGTACCACCATTTCCCATAGGAATGGGAAATTGGTGAATGTGATTCCAAAGCAGATAGTGGCAATGACAACGAAGGGTTTCTTATGGTGAACTTCCTTTGTTAGGTGCCGATTACTGTTATCACTCACGACATTGCGATACACCTGAATGCATGAATCATGAACAAGGCAATTTGTTAACTAGTTTCGTTGATATTTGGAACAAAATCGCCAGCAAACATAGAGGGCTTTCGGACCATAATCGTTCTGGTATTTATATACGACACTAGGTCCTAAGTTCAGTATAGTTTACTTTACTTTTTTTGTCGTGTGGGCCAATAGGGGAGTCGAGTCGTGAAAACATTGCTATTTCATTTATGCACTTTTGTGTCAATTTTAGCTGTATGAAAAACGTAAAACTGTCCGAGTTAATGGTAGTTGGTTTAACACTGTGTAGGTTGAAGATTTATATATTAGCTGACTGTCGTGTTGTTGTTTGGCATTGAAATAAAGTTCGGCTGCAAATTACTTCAGAATGACTTCTTTCGCATTTATTAATAATCCATACCACCAACACTGCATCCGTGGTGTAGTGGTTAGAGCGTCCGCCCGGAGAGCAGAAGGTCGCGGGTTCGAACCCCGGCCTCGTCATACCAAAAGACGTTAAAATATGGTACTTGTTGGTCCCTGCCTGGCGCTTCCGGCATTAATGGGTACAGCCAAGAACCAGGTCGGCTCGGAGTCAGTATAATGTCTGAGTGGGGTATTCATGCTTCGCTGCGGCATGGTATGTCAGTGAGCTAGCACTATATAACCAGCTTAAGTCTGGGATAGTACAAGCAGCCACACATACACACACGTATGCATCGTCGTCATATGAACGAAATTTATTAATACGACATTTCACCTCATTTCACTTGCTTACGTGGATACATCATATTAATACTTTATTTATTCCTTTCAGATTTGCCCGATAAGCCAAACATGACACCATGTCGTGAATATACATCTAGGGATGTTGCAAGTCAGCTGTCATTGCAGTAACTAAATACAGTGAATTTAATCCAGACTTTGACTAGCCATGTTTAAACGTTTGTCTCACACTATTGACAAGGTGAACCATCTAAGAAGATATGGTTTCTAAACTGAGGAAGAATTTAATATTACTATGCATTATCACTATCATATCTTGACATGCATGGCACTAAGTTTCTTTTCGTGGGCACTTGATTTGCCTGTGCGTGTGTTTCTATGACACCAGGTCCTAAGTTCAGTTTAGTTTACTTTACTTTTATGTCGTGTGGGCCAATAGGGGAGTCGAGTGTTTTTCAGCGTGAAAACATTGCTATTTCATTTATGCACTTTTGTGTCAGTTTTAGCTGTATGAAAAACGTAAAACTGTCCGAGTTAATGGTAGTTGGTTTAACACTGTGTAGGTTGAAGATTTATATATTAGCTGACTGTCGTGTTGTTGTTTGGCATTGAAATAAAGTTCCGCTGCAAATTACTTTAGACTTCTTTCGCATTTATTAATAAGCCATACCACCAACACTGCATCCGTGGTGTAGTGGTTAGAGCGTCCGCCCGGAGAGCGGAAGGTCGCGGGTTCGAACCCCGGCCTCGTCATACCAAAAGACGTTAAAATATGGTACTTGTTGGTCCCTGCCTGGCGCTCGGCATTAATGGATACAGCCAGGACTGGTCGGCTCGGAGTCAGTATAATGTGTCTGAGTGGGGTATTCATGCTTCGCTGCGGCATGGTATCTCAGTGAGCTAGCACTATAAAACCAGTTTAAGTCTGGGCTAGTACAAGCAGCCACACATACACACGTATGCACGTCGTCATATGAGCGAAATATTGATAAGTACGACATTAAACCCCATTTCACCTCACCTTACGTAGATACATCATATTAATACTTTATTTATTCCTTTCAGATTTGCCCGATAAGCCAAAAATGACACCATGTTGTGAATATACATCTAGGGATGTTGCAAGTCAGCTGTCATTGCAGTAACTAAATACAGTGAATTTAATCCAGACTTTGACTAGCCATATTTAAACGTTTGTCTCACACTATTGACAAGGTGAACCATCTAAGAAGATATGGTTTCTAAACTGAGGAAGAATTCTAATATTACCATGCATTATCACTATCATATCTTGACATGCATGGCACTAAGTTTTCTTTTTCGTGGGCACTTGATTTGCCTGTGCGTGTGTTTATGACAGTCACATTTTCGCGAACACCTGGCATCATCACTGTTTGATGGTGAGTCATAATCACATCAGTGTTAACCGTGTTTAGTGATTTTTTTTTTTAAATCTTTTGCATATTTTCTAATTCCACAATGTATCCGATGACAACCATTGCTTCTGATGAACTTCACCACAGTAACACCGCCGTACCAAAATAGATAAATACATTTGATTGTTTATCTGCTGCTTAACCCCGTCTCAGCAATATTCCAGGTATATGACAGTGGTCCTCAATAATCGAATCTGGACCAGACAATCCAGTGATCAACAGCATGAGCATCGATCCACATAACTTGGATACGATAACATGTCGGCGAGCCAGACCACCCGATCCCGTATGTCAATTCGTACGACAAGCTGAAGATCTTCACGGGTACAAACATTTGAAGATAATGAAAAATCGTGAAGATGACATTCTGAATGGATTTGAACAACAGGTCCAATCTTAATACATGTCACAATTCATTTTATTATTTTATAATGATAATGTTATGTGTGGACGATGTGATCAAATAGTCAAATAGTAAGATATCAAACACTACTTTATTACTTTCACAAATTAACACAAATATCTATCATCTACATCTGTATCTGTTTTCATAGAGATTAACTAATTACAAAGCAGGAAAAACAATAACGTCGTTTTAAAATTCCAGTTGTAATTCCTCTCAGCAGAATTATACATATAAATACAGCACGCCCCGATATATTTTATGGGCGCTTCATATATACAGACGGTTCACCCTCTCAGCTCGCACACATACTCATTTCGTCACCGCACCTCCTCACTGTCCAGGTAAATACTTCTGATGTCATATGCAATCATGCTTAGAGAAAAAGATACATTTCAATGAATTCAACGGGAGAAACTTCATATTTACGCCCAGTCCTTTCTGCAGTGCTAAAGCCCTATATGAAGTCTCGCTCCAAGGAGGAGGTAGCCCAATGGGTTAAAACGTTCGCTCGCCATGCCGAAGGCTCGGGTTCGATTCCCACATGGGTTCGATGTGTAAAACCCATTTCTGGTGTCCCCCGTCGTGATATCGCTGGAATATTCCTAAAAGCAAGATAAAACCCAACTCACTCACTCACTCTTGATCCAAGGACAGATCCAATCAAGTTTAAGAATGTAATTTTTACT